CTGCCAAAGTCAAATTGCCTGCAATAATGCACAACTCAACCGAAAATGACTGCGCTATGATCTCTGTTGCGGGCAGGACAACTGCAATTACTGACAATGGAGGTCGAGCAGCTCAACCCTGCACCTAGGAGCTTCCTATAGGCTGTGGTTGGCCTTCCCTGAGGCTGCGGCAGCTTGCTGAGAGTCCTGAAACCGCCCGCGATGGCATGCACGACGTCCGAGAAAGAAGGCGCCAAAGACTCTCTCAAGCAGTTTCAGTCTCTTCTAAGACATGGCTTCTCACTATTTTTGACATTGCGCACGTGTGCTTTCACTGGAGTGAGTTTCATTATTCTCGAGGCTCGTGGTCGAGTTCCAGAAGAAGGGGCTTCTGGGTTAGCTCTCAGCATCGTGCCATCGCTCGTCCTCTGCAACTGCTCTTTGCTCATGTCGTCATCCGACCCAACTGCTTCCTGGACGCGACTGCCGGGTTGTGCGCAACATCATCCCACGCCAAACAACAAGGCTTCCAGCCTTCGCTACTTACTTCAAAAACGTTTAGCCACCTGCTGTTTGTTTCTTTCTTTTTCTTTTCTTTTTTTTCCGCCTTGCTTGCTTCTGCGGGACGAAGCGCATCATGTTGATGGGACCTAGCTCCCGCCCAACAAAGCTGATGTTCTCCATTGACGAGCAAACCCAATCGCCCCCATCAAGGTTCGGTAGCTGTGCCTCATGTGGTTCCCTCAACGAAAGCCTACTTGTCCCGCGCAGAAAATGGTGTAGTCCTACTTTTCCTGGGTGGAACGCAAACAAATCCCATTGCACGACCACAAGCAAACATTTGTCTTGGGGGGGTGACGTGTGCCAATTGCAGAACTATGTGTTTGGCTAATCCGGGGCGAATTTGCAGTACAAAGACTCCATGTATTGAATATCCTGCCACATCTACTCTTGAAATAGCTTTGCAAGCTGAACTGATATGTTGCCTCGGTCTTTATTTGCCACGGAGGGCCTATTCTCGTATCGAAGTAGGGACACTGAGGTACATCCAAGTAGGGTTCAATTGAGACCCAATCGGACCCTCGACCCCGCCAACAGGCTGAAACATGTGACTTTTGAAGGGGTCCCAAGGGCCGTGCCACAGGCATGAGGGGCTTGTTACGCTACAGTTGAACCACACCTCGGACAATCTATCAATACCAAGCTGAAGATAGGTTTAGGATGTAAATTTATGCTCCCTTGATTTTATACCTAGACCAAGAATATGGCTTTCAAGGTATTTTCAGCTAGGGACCCTCTCCCAAACAATTGCCTTTTCTGTACCATGGCTTCTCTTCCCGAGCCATTTAGTCCTCTCTGAAAGGTCCTATGGTACTCCCGCCGAGCCGTTTAGGTTCCCGCCTGAATCGCGGCCAGCGCTTTGTCTATGCCCCCGTGGCGCAAGAAGAGCAAGGCAAGTTCCTCCAAGACCAATGGAGGTGACACCTGGTCAGGACACGGCGCTTGATTCCCATTGCAAGAGATATCACCCCGCCACAAAATGCCACACGACTCGGGTAATGTGCCGTAAATCACAGGGTTTCCAGCTTGTTTCCTGCTTGCTTCATACTTAGCTTAGCCCTCCACTCGGCTCTCGCATCTGAGCTGCGCGCTGCAGCCAGTCCACAAAGCAGCTCACTTAGAGTCACAGTGCAGGTGGTGTCATTCCTTGGCCCGGTCACTTGCCCGGAGGTTCGTCACGGACATTCAGACCCACCCCCGCAAGAACTCGAAGTGATGATACTGTTTTGGGCCCCCAAAACTCACTGGTGTCCACCTGGACCCAACACGAATAGACAGGGGAATACACAAGGTCAACTTTGTGGGCCTTTGACCAACCAGCTCGAGAACTTGAGACGTGAACTTCTGCCATAAGAGTTTATCCGATCCGATGAATTTAAGCCAGGGATGGTTTGCGTATTTGAGGGTTGCTGCCTTACGCAAGCCAACCTGGAACGTATCAGAATCAACACCAGCCGAGTCATTCTCATACTCTGGTCAAGCAGTTTGCCCAAAAAGAATCCAAGTCCGAAAGTCGCAATCCAAAGAGACCGTCCAGCGGGGAGAGTTCAGTCAAAGGTGGCTCAGCGCCAACTTGGGCCCTTGCGGATCTCGGAGAGCGTCGAAAATGGCGCGGTGCTCCTGGGGGCCACTGACTGACTGGCGGTGAGCCTTTCGTACGTGCGCGAGAACCAGTTTTGGCTCGGTCGTTTCAAGCGCGGAACCAACTCGAACAACAGCAATAATAAGGCGTGCCACTCAACTTTGGGCTGTTGGCGATTGTGCGACTAAAATATGCTCAATACGACACAAGCACACAACATGATATGCCTTGGTGCATGGCGCCTTCTGTTTTGCTAAATCCCTTGAGGAATCCACTACAAAAGGAGACCTCTTCTGTAACCCAAGGATCGCTTTTGACAGGCCTTGTATAGATAAAATGCTCATCAGCCGCTTGGAGGCTTGGTGTAGGGGCTTCAGGAAAGGGCTGGGCCAACCACATGCTTGAAAAATCAAACAACTTGTGCTTCGTCCTCGGTTCGCTTACCTGTGGGGCCATCAGACTCGCGCAAATCCGACGTTCCAAGGCGAACTTGCGGCGAAATCCACGAGGCGGCCTTTGGCTGGATCACGTAGACTCGGCCTGGGCGAGTCACCAACCATTCGTCAAGCACTTTTCGCAAAGTCCTGCAAACCGTCGACTGGTTCCTAGCCAACAACCGCCTTTGCAATTGTGGGCTGCACGTTCTCTGTCAACAGCAACAGCAACAAACGGGGAGTGGCTTACTATTGTGTCTGCCTTTTCCGGCGAAGGCCGTGAGTCGCCGATGTGAATCAGCTCACAAGTTTGCTAAGCTAGAAATACAGGCAAGCACCAAGAAGAGGATCTTCCTCATTGGATGCTGTACAGCTCTTCACTCCCTAGAGTGAGATGTCAGGCCTCTTCCTCTGATGCCATTTTCGTCAATTTCGAGGGGATCCACCTAGAGGTTCACGTGGTGATCTTGGCTCCCTTTGCCCAAAAGAAATACACTTTGCCGAAACGCGAAAAACCGCCATTTCCAAACACGTCTGCAATGGCCAGTTCAGTTGGCTCCGATTTGCCAGACTACCCCCCCCCCCTCAAAAACAAAACAAAACCGGCGAATTCCATCGATCTCAGGCAGACTGCAAAGGCAGGCAGAGAACTTTTCGAAGGTGAGGGGGTGCATGGAGGTGTCCTGACATGCTCTGAACTCCCAACGGTGCTGCGAAAGGATGGGCTCGGAACCCTGTCTGAAACTGCTTGGGGGGTTCAACGGAAAGTCCGTCCCGGTCAAGGCGGGAAGTTCATGCATTTCCATGGACTCCAGCGCCCTTCCGCAATATTCTTCACTTAAAGAGGGGGCCCAGTGAAGGGGCACGCGGTCGGCAGCGAGTGAAAAGGCTGCCTTCGGATTCCGAAGGCCATACTCGCAGGACTTTCCCCTGAAATCAATAGTTTCTGAATAAAAAGGAAACAGCCCTGAAGTGGTACAGTCCTCCAGACAAAGCCAACATTGACACTCATGCAGCTGCTGGCCTTCTTGGTGGCCTGTGAACGTAAACCGTGGTGATGCAAAATGTGGGTCCTCTGTGGCCACAGGAACACAGCTTGGCGCTATGACAGTTCAACGACTGGTGGCCACGTGCTGTAAGGTCAAATGCATTTTCACTTGTACAGTTTTTGTCCCATTGACTCTCATCTGATTGCTTCAAATATTTGGAGAAACCGTCTTCGCAGGGCCGAAAGCTCAACAAACCATCGTCCCAGCTCCTCGCGGCCACCATGCCTGAAATGGGTCGGGGCATCTTGGCCCGTTTCAGGCAGTGAGGGTGCCCTGTGCACGGCCCAAAACGTCCCTAAGCTATTGGCACAGGGCCCAGAGCACCTAAAAACCGCTTGACTCGGCATGGGTTGCTCCTATAGGCCCCTGTGATCCTTTCGAGATGGACAGTTCTTGACGCACGTGCATGGAGTCCCCCTGGCCTGGTTGCCACATGACATCAAAAAAGAAACCGGCACATATTAGATCGCCAGAGTCCGAAAGTCCAAATCCGTGCTCCTGTCTTTCGGGTGCCCCCTAGAGATCTTGCTGGGATACAAGTTGATTGATCAAACGTCACAACGGCCTAGAGACACGATTCGAAATGTGTCCGACGCCCGCGTGTCGCCCCGATGAGTATGGTTGCAGAACAGGCCAGAAAGTGGAAACGCAAATGCAAAACTCGTATCCCACGGCTGTTACAGGCTTTTCGAACATCAAACACACAAACCCTGTTTGTTGCACGTGCATCCCTGCTCAAATCACACCCGACTCAGAATCTAAAGCCTGGTTGCAAAGCGGTCTACCCAAAACAGACAAAAACCATGCGGCACATGCAACGCTCGTTGAGGCGCCCGGCATCACGGACAGTGCCAAGCACATGGAGGGAAAGCCCACGCACCTGATGTCACTCTCGTTTGGCAGCTGGCAGTGGGGGGTTTTGGGGGAGTCAAATGGTCGAACGGCGCAGCCTCTTGGACGGTGAAAGGAAACACAATGAGCCGGGAAACAAACCGGGAGGAACCCCAGGGAGTTGATGCCAACCATTTCCTAGGGCCGGCCCTGTCAAACACCGTGGCCCGTGCGTGGCTTGATGAACCCCACGTGAATACTCCAGACACGCAAACACGTTCACAGCCCAGCTCCAGAAGTGCCCATTTGGGTGTGTCTTTGGTTCCCCCTTAGCCCCCCACCCCCCCCCCAAAAAAAAAAGAAGAAAAACAAATAAATCTATCAATGAAACACATGAACTAATAACAAGAACATCCCCCCCGCCCAAAAAACATAAATACAAACAATTCCATCAATAAATCCATCAATAAAACACCTGGAACAACAACATGACATTGAAAACAAGTAAACCAAACCGTCCAGCGCCTTGCCTCGGCTTCGGTGGTTTTGGCTGGGTCCCCGGGCAGCAACCGCTTCCGAAGGGACTCTAGGCAGGTCACCGGCGCAACCGTCTCGATCTAAGGCACGTCAGGGATTGGCCGCTTTCTTTGTCTAGGTCCTCCAGCGAGGTTAGAATAAGATGGTTCTCGATTTTTTTCTGTAGCCTATTTTAGTAGGGGAACCCTTCCCAAAAAAAGGGTAAAAGGGCACTACTGGGGGACCTAGTTGTCGTTGTTGAGTCTCTCTTTATGATGAACTGTGTTTTGTTTTTGCTGCTTGCCTGCCTGTCTGTTTGCTTCTTTGCGTCTTTGTGTCTTTGCGTCTTTGCTTCTTTGTGCCTCTGCGTTTCTATGTTTCGTTGATTTGTCGCTTATTGGCTCTTTGATATTATTTTGCGCTGGGTTGTTTCTTCTTTGTTTGGCTGGCTCAGTGTTCTTTGTTTCTTTGATTGCGTCGTTGGTTCTGTGTTTCTTTGTGTGCTTGTTTGTTTGCTTGCTTGGTTGGAGGGGAGCTACGATTCTAGGGTGGAATGCTTCATCAAACCTGAGGCAAGAAATGGGTACCAAAGAAAGGAACCATGGGACAAATCGGTCGCGAACCAAGACCTTTGAGAGGCAAATCGGGGGGTCCCATGTGACTTGCCCCGGTTTCTATCTTGTTCAGCGTCACTTCCGCACAGGGAAACACACCGTCAAAATCCAAGCTGTGCCCCGTGCACCCCCCAAAGCCAAGGAAGCACGGGACTCACACCAAGCTGCAGCCTTGACTACCCAACATTTCCGCTTGACCTCGCATCCAGCCAAAAGAAGAGGAACCCGAGCCAAAGGAAAAAGGGCACCCGCTGGATGGATTTTCAAGGCCCCCGACGCCCCAGTGGAATTCCTGCAGCGTGATCTCCCCATCCTACGGCAACGGCGTCTAAGCTTGTTTCTTGTGTCTGCGGATTAAAAGAAACTGCCGGCTAAAGCATCGGCCAAATTTGGGCTAAAGAAAATCCGGACAACTCAATGCTTTGTGCACCAGCTCCGGTTCAAACAACAACTACCGCTGTGGCTTGAGTACGGATCTATTCCCCCATGGGAAATATCACTTTCCGTGGGGGCCCCACGACATCTGAAGGGGCTGGCTTGGTATCACAGGTGGCCCTAAAACTATTGTTCGCAACCATGTCTTCACCAGGGCTCTCTTCGCAATGACCCCGCGGCTGAGTCTACTTCAAGCCACTATCTGTTTTCTAGCCCACAACACATACACCATTTCACAAGCAATGCGCATGCTCAAAGCTGGACCTTCTTGGCTGCACACTCACCCGCTTGGTTTATTTGGCCTGGATCGTGTTGCACGCTGGACAGCTTGTTGCTGCCTATCGGTTTGATCTTTGCCTTTGCGTGAGACAGCACGTTGGAGTGGGTGCCCTGCTGTGTGCAAATGGCGGGCGTAGAGAAATCACAGGATTCTTTCGCAAATCACGGAGAAGCAGTTTCAAACATGTTTCAAACCAGTGATAGCACACATTTCGGGCACCGTCTTCTTCTAGGGCCAACCCCAAATGGGCGACTTTTGAGGGAAGGGGTCCCCTCGCGGGAGAAGATCAAGCAATCGCTGACGCAGCACTGTTGGCAGACTGCAACATGAAATGTTTGCTGCATCCGCTGACACGGACAAACATATTGAAGATCTTGGCATTTTGAATGGTTGCTTGCCTTGGTTGAAACTTGCTTGCGGACGCATATGGCTTCGCAAATGTTTCAAGCTGCACGTGCGCCCTAGGCAGCACTTCTTGCAGGGTTTGAAGAGGAATAATCCAGCACGATCTCCCGGCTTTCAGGGCTCTGTATGCTTCCAAGATTCCAAGTCTTCTGCTGCAGCCGAATTTACTTTCGTGCAAACATAATCCCCAGGATCTAAACCTGCCGCGAATAGAGTAGATGTATACAGGTTGTCTGAACACGGCGACGTTCGCAGCCGCAACATGGTGGGGGTTCGTGACTCCTGTGTTGAGTCCCTCCTCCTGGCATACTATGGAAACATGTCTGACCTGCACCTTGAATGGGGTCCAGATGATTTGAGTTAAGCCTCTCAAACTATGAATATTCTACTGTTCTTGGTCACCAGTAATACAAGTAACATGACACACGCTTTTACAGGCCTTGTTCTCATCCAGCAGCTCCTGAGCGACCCAATCTGACCCTGTGCTGTGTGGGAGCCGCTGCATGACTTGGTTTTGCCATGCCCCACTGTGCCATAATATGCGTCCAAAGGCAAGCTTGTATAGTCTCTACCCTGCCTTTTGCAAACCACCTGGCCTTGTGTTGCCTGGGCGACTCAACTTTGGTCTGTGAGTAAGGCAGAATAGCTCGTGCCAATCAGGTTTTTTGCCAGCGTTGGGGGAACAACTGGTCAGACCTGGGTTTGCCTTTGCGACGCTTATGTTAATATCTGCCCAAATTGGTTCAGAGCATTCTTTCGGGAGCACAAAGCAACCAAGTCACAACTGCAACAACACGGCGCAAGGCAATGTTTTGTGGGAGCCCAGAGTCATCTGAACGTTGAAAGGCTCCATGGCTGTGAACGACTTGAGATTGACAACTTGACATACAAATGAATGATAATGAAAGACTACATGGACTAGAACAAACCGGGAAATACGCCACCTTGCCATGTAGAAATAGTAGAAGACAAGAAATGAGAAAGTCATCTAAGATACTACCAACATGTCTGAACTAGAATGCAACCAACTTCTGCATCATTCACTTGTTTTCTCGTTTAGATTTGAGACTAGAGCAGGTTCACCAGAATTGTATGGTGTCCTTCGCTTTATGCTCATTTTGTTGTGCACTCGTATTGGATTAGTTTGCACGCTAAATGATGTCACATGTTTGCTTTATCAATTAATAGTGTGCTGTCTTATTGTCTTTTACTGCTTCTGCATTTCCTGCGTGTCTTTCATCCATCTACTTGTTGGTATTAGTCTTCTAATTATCCTCATTTGGAGTTGTATTGATATGAAGACGATGTAGGTTCTCTCTCTCTCTCTCTCCGCTGATATTTGATTGCTTCTATTATCTATTCTTATGTCTTATCTCCCGACCGCATCCGTCAGACGGCCACGTTGATTCAGAGCTTTGAACAAGGAACCTGCGCAAAGTGACCCCAACTCCTTCTGCAACCACTAAATGCATGTCCAGCGTCGTAGATCACTCGAGCATCTTGCAGATTGGCAAGGCCTGCGCAGGTTGGCTGCCTTCAGCTTTAAGAGCATGTCACGGTCTGCAAATTCACACAGCCAACTCTACCATGGATCTGACAAAGGATAATCGCCCGTTTGTCCAAATAGACGGTGTCATCAATGTTTGCGTTGCGCAATGTCTGCAGAATCCGGAGCAGCACACTTCTCAGAGGTCCCCCGTCGTGAGAGAAAGAAATCTTCATTTTGGGGAGGCGTCTTATGCAGATTGATTCCGTTTCCCGCCTAGATTGGAGAGAGTGTTAGCCCACTCCTGCAGGTTCATGGGTCGCGTCACCTGCGGTGGGATTCGGCCAAACGCGACGCAGTGGGAGCCGCCATCCCACGTCAGGGCTCCCTATGCTTCCCACTTAAACTTTGAGACATCCCCCACAGAAAGGAGACTGGGAAACTCACGTTCCATTCCCCATGTGATGTGTGAACCACCAATTGAGTTGACCTCAAGCTGCGAAAGCGCGGATGGCACCTTGGACAAGTAGCTGTCGATTGCCGCGAAGGCCTCCTGGTCCGGCTTACCCCCGCGAAATCCCGTCTCAGAGAGCCCAAACCCAACGAATCCGTCAAGACAATGAGAGAGTCCCACGGTAAAAATTAACTTTCACGGCAATTCCCATTTCACGGCAATTAGTGACTTCTTAATTGACTTGCAAAATTAACTTTTCACGGCAACGGCAACGGCAAAAAAACGCGGCAACAAAAACGGCAACGGCAACGGCAACGGCAATTTTGGAAGTAGTTACTGCGAAACTACTGCGCTGGAGCTAATTCCGCAGTAGTTTGGCGGTAGTTTGGAACTAACTACTGCGAAACTACTGCGCTGGAGATAATTTCGCAGTAGTTTGGAAGTAAAAACTGCGAAACTACTGCACCTTGGCAAACAGCCACGGCAACAGCCACGGCAATTTCCCCGTTAAAAAAAAAAACTTTTCGCGGCAACGGCAACGGCAACGGTAAAAAAAACTGCCCACGGTAAAAAATAACTTTCACGGCAAAAATTGTCTTGCCCCCGCTAATTGTCTTGACGGATTCACAGGGAAGGCCACTCGTGGGTGAATCATAACTCAGCTTCCTTGGTGATTTGGAGGGGTGGGATTTGCCCACAAGAACCCAACCTTCAAATCCTCAATCCAAACCACCTGAAAAACACTCCAACCTGAAAAACGAGGCAGACCTTCTTTGGGGCCAAATGAGAGATGCGTCACGTGACAAATTCGTGGGCCCAACCGAAATGTCTGTTTGATATGTTACCAACGCCGTGAAGGGCTGTTTCGGAGGCATTCAGGGTGAGAGCATCAGAAGGACGCTTCGTAATTTGCGTGTTGGCGTCACTTCTCGGCCGCCCTAACCGTTCCGTGCCAAATTGACAACATCCGCCTCCGACCGCCTGTTCTGCTGTTGCGATAGCCATGCTGACTTTTGCAAGGCCATCCCCAACAGAACGGATATCCCTAGAACCCAATCGTACATAACCATGGTTCTGCTCTTCTGCCGTGCTGTTCCCGTAATTTCAAGCCCGCGCCTGAATGGTGGGCCATTTGCTCAGGAGCCTCTTGCGAAAGTCCAGCAAGGGATGTGCCTGCGGGAGCTGGAGAATGGCCCAAACAAGGCCATCAACGAGGGGGCCAACCCCTTGAAAAACACCCTGTGTTTGAACAATACTTGTTTGGAGTGTGAGTTAGTTATCCTTAGTGTAATAGTTGTATAAGTGATTATTGCAGTCTAATGGAGATCAAGGCTAGGGTGAAAAGGTTCATGGCTGTCGTTGTTTTCCCTTTAAAGGGGACCAAGGTCTGGTGATTAAACCACTTTTGCTCCACCCTAGCTGCAAACCCGACCCCAGTTCGTTCTGGTAGGTCCTAGGTGGTCCCACAAAAACGTTGGCCTGCAAAGTGGCATGCTGCATGCAAGCTTGGCAGCAACCTCTACAGGTTACTTGCATGAGCCTAGAGCCGGACATGACTTTCCTTAGCGTTGAGGAAGCTATCTGTCTACTTTCACAACGCGATATCATACTTCGCAAAGATCTGAGCTCCTGTGGGTTTGTCTCCATGGAAAGCCAACACGGCGCTTTGACTTCCCTAAGAACTCCTCAATGGTATGGGTACCCTCAAAGATTCATTGAAGCTCAGCACACAGTGAGGCCTACAGGGTGGCAATCTGACCTTGAGGCATCAACTGCAAAACTTGGACCTTCTGACGCTGCGCTGTTTTCTAGTGCCTTCCTAACCAGCAACACCTGATTTTGTCTCCCTCTTAGACTCTTGGCCAAGAAACAAATGGCAGGTGCCCTTTTGGCTGCCCTTTTCAGCAAGCTCAACAAGGGCACCCGTGAAACCAGACAGACTCCAACCTCAGGTTGCACACGCCATTTTTCCTCTGAAGACGCGCCTTGGGACGCCTTCCGCGCCTGACAATGGGTGAGATTGGGAGCCCAAAACGGAGCCAATTTTGGGGATCTATGTAGAGACACTCCCCTCAAAATTCGACCCAACCTGTGAGGTGGACATTCCGGAGAGTGAGGACGCGAATTAATTAATTCGCCCAATTGCATGCTCGTGCATGCGCTATGAAAGGCCGGTGGCTCCAAAGCTGGCAGAGAAGAAACAACTTGGCCTGAAGGAAAATCAGAAGGACACCCTCCGAGTGTGCGTCTGCAAATAGGGGTACCCCAAAATGGAAGCGTTCCCTAGTTTTCCTAAGGGAGCCATCCCTTTCAAAGAGTATCCCAAAAGAAAGATGAAACCCCAAAATGGACTTCCGTTCTTCTTTTGGCTTCCATTTCAAGAAATCTATCCGTTACCCGCCAAAACACCCAGACCATCTCTCGCTTTTGAACGCGCACTTTTCCGGCCGATGTCGGCCCCAAGCGGGAGCGGCGCTTTCGGCTCTCGTTGCCGACCTCGGTTGATACCCCCCAAGTGTCCGAGCTTGCGAATTTCGCGTCAGCCCAAGCTACCTACTTGGACAATCTGGGCCTGCCTACCGAAAGCTCCCCTAAAGGAATGACACTTGTGAATTGCGCCACATGGGTTGACCGTACGCCTCTTCTGAGGGTTACATCAGGAACAAATAGACGCAGGATAACGCGTGAATAAGCCTTTGCCAAAGCCATTTGTTTCTGAACAGACAGCTATCACCAATCATGGCAGACTGCATATGCAAACGCTTGAATTTCATTGAAAGCTCTGGGGCATGTGCAAACATCATGTTACTCGCCAAAGACTCACAGGGATGACCTGCTTCACGTCTGAGGCACCTGAAAGAGCAGCTCGCGCAAAGGCATGGCTGCCTGCATTGCGGCGTCCTCGTGGGTTTCCCCAATATGGAAGAACCTGCCATGGCTATGCATGCGAACAAATCTGCACACCACTGGAGCTCAAAATGATCGGCAGCCTCAACGTGGATTTGGGCAACACTACCAAAATCAACTGCTGCAATTCTTCGTTGAAAGGCAAGTCGTGTCCATTCATTGTCATTGCGACTCTGGAACGCAAAAGCGGCTGACAAGATCTGGCGTCCAACAATTTCAATCTTTAAACGCTACCTTCCACACATCTGCAATGGGCCGGACTACCCTTGAGTGCTTATTTCATGAAGTCAATGCTCCCGAACCATGAAACATAGTCCAGCCGAAAAGTTGATCAAGTTATGAGTGGGCTCCACCCTTTCGGGAGCCCAAAGTTCCTGACATTCGCCAAATCAAAGGAGAAAAGCAGCCAAGGTTCCCTCGCACTTTTCCCCTTCCGTTCCAAAACAGAACTAGCTTTTCTTTTGCGGAAACAAGCCTTGACTTAGGGGACCCCCCGATTCAAAGTTTTGCTTTTCCATTCGGTGTCCCTTTCAAAACAGCAAAAACGGGGTATCCTTAAAAAGAGCACCCATCGCCCAAAAACGGGGCAAGCCCGATCCTCTAGACATGGTTCGGCTGTTTCGGGGTTCCGGAGTCAACATGGTGGTTGTTTGGGTGCCTTCCGGGAGACTGTAGGGCATTGGGAGTTCCTCAGCTGAAGCATTGCATGTTGGCCCCAAGTCGTCCTCTCGGCACCAGCTGCATTGCCAGCCTCAGGCAATTTGGTTTGCCCTTGGCCTTGCGTTCCTCCATGTGGACGTCTCTTTTTTGAAGGGGACCCATGTTTGTGGCTTTAAAGGGACACCGAAAGGAACAACCGCCGTATTTATCACGTTGTTTGGGCCGGGGGGGGGGGGGGTCCCGCTAAAATGAGGGGGAACATTGCAACAATGGGCTTGTCGAATTCTGCCATTGTGTGGCCACCACCAACACCACCACCACCACCATTGTCATCCTCATCCTCATCCTCCTGGTTGTCATCGTCATCATCATCATCATCATCATCGTCATCATCATCATCATCATCATCTTCTTCATCATCATGCTTCTCAGCAAAATAGGGCCTGTAATTTCAACGAAGCCCTGAACAGGTAGTTTATCCACTTTCCGTACGAATAGGCCCTTTTTGGGGCCCTTCTCCTTCAAATATTGCCACCCTTCACCAGAGACTCGATCACCCTCAAAGGGGCGCCTGCATTCCAAGCGTCGCTGAACTATCTCCCCTTTAAACATCACCCCGCAAGAAGTACAAGAACAACTTGGCTCGAAAGGTAAGGCAAATCCAGGGAAAAGTTCTTGAGGATACCCTTTCCAATTCTGGGAGAGCCACAGGAAAATCGCTCCTCCATTTTGAGACACACCCGCACACACACACACACACAAACGAACCCTGTCTCTTGGCGCTGGGGGGGGGGGGGTCACACTCAGGAAGATGGTTTCCACCCCAAGGGGTATGGTATGGGATATACAGCCACTTCACAGTGTGAGGGGCGGTGCACTGCGAAGGTCCTTTCGCTCTGCAGGGCCGCATCGTTCTGCAAGGCCCGCTCCAGGCCTCTGCAAGCGAAGAGCAGCACCTCAGTCGCATCCGTCCCATTTTGGGTGTGTCTCTTAGGCAAATCCTTTTTGGTTGGGAAAAGGACAATGAAAGGCAAACCACCTTTTTTTGGGGCTCCACGGGGGAAAAAACATAGGGAACAGATTCTCAAAATAGGACTTCCCCTATGGTTGGGATTCCCTTGCGTTTCCCTGATACCAAAAGTGGGGTCCATTTACCCCTGCTGAATGGCTGTGGACCGGAACAGCACCACAATATGTAACGATATCACTCACTCCCACTCGACATGCTCGGCGCTTGATTTGACTGTCTTTCGGCATTCAGCTCGCGCTCTTTGCTTCCAGCCCGCATGTGTTCAACAATTGTCATTTGTTTTGCAGCCCACCGAGCATGAACAGAACAAACACACATTAAAGCAACCAACAAACAACACGCCAAGAACGGTACAGTTCCATGTCAAATGTGGGTATGTGTCTCTACATGTGGGGGACCCAATGAAAATGTTGGGTAGATTTGCCCGTCTTTCGAGGATTTTTGAGTTCAGTCGTAGAGCTTCGATCGTCTGTTGTTCTTTGATATAATATTTGAGATTATTGATATTGGCATGATATGATTACTAATATATGATTATTATATGTTATAATACTAACAACTTCATAGATCATGAGATAATAATGTGTTACCAATTTCATAGATATAATATGCATGAATATTTGATATTGTTACTGTGTTGTGCGCCGCCTTGGCCTTGTTTGATGTCAATCGAATCAAAGCCCTACCATAAGGTATGTTCCTGGGGCAGAGACCAATTTAACGCTTGAATACAGCTTGCGTTTAGATCTTGTGAGATATATCGGCCAACAAAATCAACAAACAACACTCACACATATCGAACAGCAACACTAAAGCAATACCAAGCCAAATGGAATTTCAACTGTGATTGTTTCTGAGGCTCATTTCATTCAAGCAGCAGCACCGACATCAGGCTTTGATTGAATGCAACAGCAAAACTGCTTCACAAACTCAACACTGGATACACGTTCCTGTTTAACAGATTAAATACCCCAAGTCAACCGCACCAAGAAGGTTAGGATGTTGAACGTTCAAATATATATGTATATACATATATATGAGGAGCGGACGAAACACTTTACTTGGCCCTAGTACTTTTTTGAACGTTATCGTTTTTGGGGGAGACCTTATCGTTTTACAGTGTTTTCGAACTTTGGCATATCCGGCTCGAAAATCGCAACTTTGTAGTACAAGTCTAGTACGCGAAGTACACTTCCGCAGCACTCCAGCTCGAAAATCGCAACTTTGTAGTACAAGTCTAGTACGTACGAAAATCGCAACTTTGTAGTACAAGTCTAGTACGCGAAGTACACTTCTCCAGCTCGAAAATCGCAACTTTGTAGTACAAGTCTAGTACGCGAAGTACACTTCCGCATCTCCAGCTCGAAAATCGCAACTTTGTAAAGTCTACGAAGTACACTTCCGCATCTCCAGCTCGAAAATCGCAACTTTGTAGCACAAGTCTAGTAAGCGAAGTACACTTCCGCATCTCCAGCTCTAAAATCGCAACTTTGTAGTACAAGTCTAGTACGCGAAGTACACTTCCGCATCTCCAGCTCGAAAATCGCAACTTTGTAGTACAAGTCTAGTACGCGAAGTACACTTCCGCATCTCCAGCTCGAAAATCGCAACTTTGTAGTACAAGTCTAGTACGCGAAGTACACTTCCGCAGCTCCAGCTCGAAAATCGCAACTTTGTAGTACAAGTCTAGTACGCGAAGTACACTTCCGCATCTCCAGCTCGAAAATCGCAACTTTGTAGTACAAGTCTAGTACGGGAAGTACACTTCCACAGCGCTCGCTCCGCTCGAAAATCGCAACTTCGTAGTACAAGTCTAGTACGCGAAGTACACTTCCGCATGTCCAGCTCGAAAATCGCAACTTTGTAGTACAAGTCTAGTACGGGAAGTACACTTCCACAGCGCTCGCTCCAGCTCGAAATCGCAACTTCGTAGTACAAGTCTAGTACGCGAAGTTTACGCAGCTCCAGCTCGAAAATCGCAACTTTGTAGTACAAGTCTAGTACGGGAAGTACACTTCCACAGCGCTCCAGCTCGAAAATCGCAACTTTGTAGTACAAGTCTAGTACGGGAAGTACACTTCCACAGCGCTCCAGCTCGAAAATCGCAACTTTGTAGTACAAGTCTAGTACGCGAAGTACACTTCCGCATCTCCAGCTCGAAAATCGCAACTTCTCAGTACAAGTGTCGTATTTACGAAGCACACCTTGGCAGCTCCAGCTCGCGCAGCTCGAAAGTGGCGACTCGCCTTCTCGTTTTACGGTGGCCACGCAAGGGTCCCACCCTAGCTAAGTTGCAACTGCAGGGGTTATTATAGAGCCGTGTGCTAGCTAAGGGTTATCGTTTTTGGGGGAGACCTTATCGTTTTGCATGGTTTTGGCATGTGTTACGCAAAAACGTACCCCGCCTTGATAAAGTGGTCTTCGTGTGTTTTGTCCGTGGCTCATATATATATATATATCGTGTCAAGGCCCCTCAAATCATATGGATTGAAACGCCTCGGGCCCCACGATTCTAAAAAAACACAGTGCGCAAATCAAATGGCGCTCAAAAGAAACCTCCGGGAATACAACATCAAATCACAATGCAATTCCAGCAATATTCAATCAAAGGCAAACTCGAATTGATTGACAAAAGCAAGCTAATTACACTTACGGCCAGACTAAATCAACTGGAAGCTCAAATGCACCAATTCAAAATCAAAGCGAATGTCAATTCAATGTCAAAAGGAAGTTCCCGCAATACGAAATCAAACGGAAGCTCAGATCCAGCAATACTAAATCAGAGCGAAACTCATATCCAATCTCAAAAGGATTCTCCAGCAATACTGAATCAAACGAGCACCCAATTCCAGCAATACTACTGTAAATCAGAGGGAAACTCATATCCAATCTCAAAAGGAAGCTCCAGCAAATCTTAACTCAAATAAAACTAAATCTGGGTCGCGTGATCTAAGCAATTCTGAAATCAATTGATTGGATTCCTAGGTCTCCATTGTTTGGGGGGAAGGAAGGACTGACCATAGGCACAAGGCCTTGATAGGATGGTGGATCAGTCTTGGCTTAAGTGTGAGCTCGGGTGGGTTTTGGTTTAAGTGTTTGCTCTATGTTGTTCGGCAGGGGGCTTGGTGGGTTTGGGGGCAACGCCCCAGGAACAGCTCAAACAGCAAATCAACAAGGTGGCTGAATGCTCAGCTTGCCGCCACAACAATCGCACACCCTAAGGGCCACCCGGAGCCTCCAAGATGAGCGCACACTCTAAGAGTCCCTTGGCGCCTTAGGATGTTCTTTGAACTAGCCCCGTTGCTTTTCCAAAGTCGCCCCAACGACACAAAAAAGAAACAACCCCTAAACCTCAGGCTGCTGGCCGACAACCCAACGCCCGTTCGGCGCGCACCTCTCGGTGCTCCGGCAAGAGGGGCTCAATGTCTCCCGCCAGATCCCGGCAGGAGGTGGTCATTGCGCCAGCGTTCCACCGCGCCAGGTGGGGGGAGAAGTAGTCCTGACGAGAAATATCGGAACCTCAAAAGTTCAAAAGTGGTTGGTGTTTGTCTGAACCCCGACCCTGACACGAGAAATCGTGTCGAGCATCCAGTGAAATTTGCGCATGAGGCAACAAGTTCGCAGATACCTTTTGGACCGTACATGTTAACCTTTTGGACGCATGGGTTCTTGAAGGAGACCCGTGAAACTAGGTTGACATTTCTTTGTTCCCTCAGAAAGGGGCCCGCCAATACACACGCCCAGAAAATGGGAAAACTGGAACACCATGAAGTCACAAGGTTGACTCTTTCCCACAAGCATCACACTATGAACAAACTCCCAGTAAATTGGCCCAAAAGGTGTTGTTGAAAACCAAAAGTGGGAATATGGGCGTGTCTCTAAATGAACAAATGCTCCAGATGGATCGTTTTCCAGTGGATCCCTTGATTAAACCCCCATTTCATATTTCATGCTACCCTCAAAACCAACCGCCCCCTCCCACCGACCCTTTTTGCGCAGAAACCCCGCAAGACCCAATCCCCACACCCCTGCCCCCCCCCCCCCCCCCCCCACGGCGGCGAGGCGCGAAGGGCAGGCGCGCCACAGCGCTCAAGGAGCCTCCGCCCCGCAGAAATCTGAGGCTCACGGCGTCCAGCAGGCGAGGGCCCGTGCACTGCACCGGGTCCGTGCCGCAGCTGCGCCTGAGGTTTCGGGTCAGGGAACGGATTTTCGGATTTTCGGAGGGGGGTGGGTTCAAGGGAAACCAAAAGAAGGACCACCATTGGCTTGATTGGAGTGGGACCTGAACCCTTGTAGAGGGTAACTGGGAAACCAGGCCCTAACTGCCAAACCGCCAACCCAAACCCAATTGCAGGGAAGTCGATATGAGGATATGGCTCGTCAAGATAGGGGCCCACAAAAAATAACTGGAACCGCTGTCCTTTGGTTGCCCGTTAAACCAACCGAAAGAGGGCCCCCAAAAGAAAGACGCGCCATGGAGGTTTGGTCGGAACTGTTGGGTTTTGCCCATGGAAATTACGCAGGTCTGTGATAGCAAGTGGTGTCACGGGAATGAGATTCCTTTGGTATCAGGTGAAGTGGCTCTCAGCTCCGATGTTCCAAATGTCAAGGCCACAGAAAATGACTCAGATTGGATAGGCTTCATCTGGGAATGCTTCATGGTCAAACCCCAGGGTTGCATTGGCCCAAAAGCCAGGAATGCAACAAATAAGAGTCACTTGTTGGTTGTTGGCGTGTGCTGAACGGAGAATAGGGCAAACTGGAGCTCGTTGGGGATGCTGGTGACACCTGGAAGGGCTGGCGCGCGGACAGCCCACTTTGTTGTGTCTGTTCTTCATGTCTTGCAGTGCCAGGTTGGTGGGCACGTGGGGACAGTGGATGCTGTATCAATGTGCGAGGGTGTGTCCACAGGTTGAAGTCCGGTGAGCCAACACCGCCAACCCCGGCACAGACAACACACAGACCGAGCAGCGAGCGAGCGAGCGAGCAAGCAAGCAAGCAAGCAAGCAAGCAAGAGCACTCACACACTAACTAACTAACACGCCAACAAGCAAACACAACAAAGCCCAAACATCTTCCGAGTGTCTGAAAGATCTCCCGTAGCACCTCCAACCAGAAGGGATGCCTCGGTACTGCGGCCATCACAGCGTTGCTCACCAGCCGTCCCCACAGCCTGCCAAGAGTCAAAAGGAGTTGATTGAGCTGATATCAACTCCATGAGTCTTGAAGAGTCGGGGTAGACATGTGTATAATGTGTATATGTGTATGTTAAACATGATTCAACATACCGTTAACAAAAAACAAACCATGTCATCGGGCCTGTTGGACATTCGTCTCTTCGGCATGCCTCGTCAGCCAACACGTCTATGTTGATGTGTGCGTGTGGCTGTGTTGCTTTGTTGAGCCCATTGCAGTTTGAGACAAAGCCGGCCAGGCTGCCATGCAATCCTAGGTCCAGCAGAGAGGTTAGAATAAGGGTACTCTTTTTGCTGCAGTCTATTTTAGTAGGGGAACCCTCCCCAAAAAAAGTGTAAACGGGCACTACTGGGGGACCTAGATTAGGAGCTGGAACCCCACACGTGTTGCTCCCAAACGTGTTCGTTGCGACACGAAAGCGGCGCTGCGGGAAGAGATTTCCGAAGCCCACAGGGCTTCCCTAAAGACACATGCGGGATGTGAACCTGCAGTGAATCGGGGGGCAAATAGATGGCACTGGTAAGATATTGCGAGCCCATTGGAGCAATAATTGCACATGGGTACCGCACCGTGTTTCACACAACTCCAAGTAACCCAATAAGCCACGCAGGATCAAAGCAAGTCATCTAAAAGCCGGCACTGCAAACACCAAGGCGTTGCCTTGTCCGGACACCAAATCAGCAGCCTGCAATCTTGGCCATGTGCACATGGTTCCTTTCACCGATAAAGCAGTCCCGACACGGCCACGCGAAGTCATCCAGAGAAACGCCCCGGCCTCTTTTCCAGGAGAACTGTGTGGACAATATTCTCCTGGCACAGCAGTTGCAGCATGCATCTGAAAAAACAAGAGTGATGTCCTTTTGCTTTCCTTTAAACCCCCTAACAAAGCCTCAATCAAGGCACACCCATTGCTAGAGTCATGTTAGGCTGCGTGTTGCGCCATCTATCTTGACCTGATGTCTGCAAGCTTTCCAAGATGGCTTGACGCGTGCCCAGGGCTCCCGCACGTTGCTGGGCTGTTCAAGAGGTGCTGAGGCGATACGGTCCGTCTTTTGAGGAAAACCTTTTTGGTTTGTCTTATAAGAGGAAAATACAAGGAAAAACCATTTTAGGGAGGTCCACTAAAAAGAGACACCCATAGTTGAATCTGCGCGCCAAGCCAAAGGCTTTCCGAGAAGTCGGTACCCAGCGAGTAAAACTGCGGAAGTGGGGAAACCATGTTCCCTCAAGATCCAAATCCAGATCCCACCAATCGAAACCACCAACTCCGGTTGCCTGTCAGGTACCTGGATTAGATGGAACTGGATTTGGAATTGAACCCCACTATTCGAAGCCAAATAGGGAAGGTACCCAACATCCAAACACCCAAAGGGGGATATGGGCCCGTCAATTTTTGGCGGAACCCCCTGTTGGCTGGCATTTCAAGCGAAACCAGAAGGAAGACCGAATCCCTTTTGGGGGTTCGAGTCCTGAAAATAGCTGAGCCACCCACACCTGAGTCATAATCAAAACCCGGTATTAACATAGTCGGGGTTTTGATTGCGGCTCATATAAGCCCAGGGAGGCCAAGGATGAGCCCCTAGTAAGCCCTCATGAAGGGCTTGCTAGCGCACTGCCCATGGTTCCCCTCCCTTGAAGGTCCATGAAGTCAACCCCTGTTTACTAATATGCGGGTGTTCCACTCCAAAAGTGATAAATCCCCACTAAAACCAGGGACACCCCGATATTAATAAACAGGGGTGTATTCGTCCGGGGTCAACATTACCCGGGTTTTGATTGTGGCTCACCAGTTTTCATTGTGGCTCACCTGAACTTTGCAAGGAGCTCATTTCAAGGGAAACCAAAAGGAAGACTGAAGCCATTTTGGGGTGTCCGATTCCAGAAAAAAGCCGAGCCACCCACACCTGAACTTCGCTTGCGATCACCGCGCCTCCCCAAGCAGCACCCCCTGCCGGGCCCGCGCAGCCGCCGCCAGCAGCGGGTCGAAGGACCTGGTGGCTGCCACGTCGATGTCCGCGTAGACGCCGCCCATCGCCTCGATCCGGGCCGAGCCGGGGCAGAGCAACGGTGCGGACGGGTTCCCTTTTTGGTGGGGTCCCCATTTTGTTTTGGTGGGGTCTCCTGTTGTTTTTTGGCTTGGTGGGGTCCCCATTTTGTTTGGTGGGTTTGCTGGTTCCCCATGTTGTTTGGTGTATTCCCCTTGTTGCTTGGTGGGGTCCCCTTGTGGTTTGGGGTGGGGTCCCCTTTCGGTTTGGTGGGTTCCCCTTTTTGTTGCCTGGTTCATTTTTCGTCTGATGGCTTCCCCGTTTGCGTTGGTGGCTGTGTCTGAGGATACCACCTGAAGGGAGCCAAGTTCGAGGCTCGGATGTCACAAAGACTCACAGGCGGTTTAGCTCTGGAATGGCGTGCGTACTTGCGACAGCCCGCACAATAAGCAGAAGACCTTTGTCGAAACCAATGGCTTGCTTCCTCGACTTCTAGGACATAGCAAGCCTAGTCAAACGGCTTTGTGCGCTTGCGAGGAATTCTCGTTGGATAATTTAGGCAACGCACTTTTGCAACGCCACTTGGCAAAAACTTTGCAATTCTGAAACAGCACGAAGACAATCTCTGTCCGATATCCTGGGTAGCGCCCCGAGAGGGAGCAACGGCTTTATTGGGGGACAACCATTCCAACGCTCGTCGCATGCGAAAATGGACAATTCGATTCGGCCCCCCGATTCACTTGGTGGCACCTGATCAGTTCAACGTGAACTCGAGTAGCGTGACAACCAGGTCAGCAGATCTATGAAGTGAAGCAGTACTTGACGTGTCAGGAGACGATTCGTAAACCCCCCCGATTAAAGGTTTCCCCTTTTCCCCCTCAGGTTCCAACCAACCCTAAAGTAAAGGGCCAACAAGATTTCCCCCCAAAAAATACACCTACCCAATAATTTTCGAGCCCTCCCCAACCGCCCCCCCCCCCCGATTAAAGGTATCCCTCTGCAGCCCCCAAGCCAACAAAACCTGCCAGAAAAGGTGCTTTCCTTCTTGCTTAGTACAGTATTTGCTTAGTCTGTGCTTAAACCCACCAATACTAAGTCACGATTGAACCCTTCAAGTTTTCCCCAAAAATGTGCTTCCCCAAAAATGCATGTTCTTTATTAAAATTTGTTTAACATGACAAGGTGTTCAAGCTCACAAAGGGGACACCCCTTGGAGGCCAGTCCCCCCTCATTAACAGAAAACCCCCCGCGATTAATCAGAGTGTTTTGGGCTTAAAACCCAAAAAATATGCTGTTGCCTTTTAAAGTCCTACTGCCCCGAAGGGGCCAGAAGTAAGAGGACGAGGACTGAAGGGGCTCCAGAGTAATCAGGGGGGTCCTCCCAAAAATCTCATTTTTTGGGACAGGGAATGTTCCCCTCCAACAAAAACAGGAACCCCCCAATTTATAACATGGGGTTCTTTAATCTGGTGTTATCACGAAGTAGGGCCTGGTCCAATGAGACCCAAGCAGCATAGAGCGCCACAATTCGCGCCACATCCGCCCGCTTGATGCCGGACATCCTCACTGGAAAAAGGGATCAAACACATGTGTGCCACGAACATCTCTGCAAGGCCTCAAGGCGGGACCCGATGCCAGCCGTTCACCCTGAAGCCTGGAAAACCCACCGACCCACCGCAAAGACCCCGGCCCCGAACTAAACTGCTACGCAAGGCGCGGTGGGACTGTGACCCTAGTAAAGGGGGGTTCCCGACCAAGTGCCTGCACGGGGGCCAAACGCAAACCTGCCAAGAGCCCGTTAGAGAAGAATGCGGCTCCTAGCAAACACGCTGGTGCATGGAGATCATTCTAGCACTTGAGAGACGCACTAAGGCAAACACCCATTTGGAGACTCGGCACCGAGCTGTTTGACTTGTAGGCCGGTACATTGGATTGGTTTGCTTCTGGTTCCTCTCTCAAACCATACAAACAGGGGCTTCGCCATCTTAGCCATCAGGCTCAGGAGAGCAACCTCGTGTTTCGCCAAACATGGACGCCAAAAACTGGAGACCTCTTGGGGATCAGTGCAAAGGGAACCAAAAAGGCACCCCGCCACTGAACGAAACAAAAAGCACGCCCACAGAAACTGGCTCAGCCCAACTTACTGTCCATGCTGCGATGCTCCAGAAGGAGTTGCTTGAATATGATCCGCTACGGAACCCTAGGCCACTTTGAAAGGCACTGGCTCAGACTTCCAGTGAGGTTCCGCGTGGCTGAGTGCCATGTTGGGCTAATCGCCCTGGTAGTCTTGAGGCAAGCGAGGAGAACCGGTGTGCAGTCTTCTACGTGGCCATCCTTCAAAGGCACCAAAACATGTGGAACGCCACGAGGGTCACAGTATCTCACACCTCAACATTGAACCATTGAGGGGAACCCTCTCAACTGGCCATGCAACTGCAATGTGCAATTCTGTCGGAAAAAACATGTGCCACGACCAAAAGTGACCCCTGCCTTGGACATTTGGGAAGTAACTCCGTTTCTATTAGTAACTTGGACAGCACACAACAGTGAATACCGGCGCCCGACACCTCTATTGTTGCCATAGGGGTTCTACTACCTGGCTTGGAGATTGCAAGGCCTGCGTATTCTAGGGGATCCCCCCAAAATTGCAAATCTTCCTGTTGGCTTCCCTTTAAACCAGCAAAAAACGGGGGTACCCTCAAAAAAGACAGACCCAAATAAACCCGAACCGCGTGAGCACCCTACCAAACGACTCGACGTTTTGGCCACGCCGCTCTTCGAAGGCGCGCGCGTGCTCTGGGAAGACCTCCTGCGAAAAACACGTGCTTCGCCAAACGGGTCGGAGCGACCCTGCTTTTGGTTGATGATCTAAAGAGAAACAATCAGGACACCGTTTCTAGGGGTTGATTCCCTATTATTTTCAACCATCTTTCCAAAAAGCGGCTGCTTTCCCTCTGTTTCCGGAGGTTTTCTAGAAAGAAGGATGCCTGGAAAGAATGGGGAAGGTACCCCTAGACGGTTGCCATCTTAGGTTTCCCCTGCAACCAAAAGTGAGGGTTGTTCCGAAAGAGACATCGGCGTGCTTTGACGCACCGAAATGAGCAAAGGAAAAGCGAATTATATGTATGCATCAAGAACAGCTACTTTGTGAGAAGCCTCGGGGTTTCAATGTGTTCTTTCCGTTCTGGTCCAGGCACTGCTGCAACTAGACAAAGAGCCTTCACCCTTTGAACATACTTTTGGTTTTTCAAGCTGGGAGTTAGACTGTCTTTTGGTTGATATGTCATGTTTAGGCCTCCTTGTCTTGTTTTGGTCGTTCAAATGAGGGCTCTTCAAAAGAAAGGGCCCCAATTTCACACCCAGGTACCCTTGGGTGTTGGGGCTCCGACTCGTAGTTTGAGAACCCACTGAGTTGTTTTGTTTTGAGGATCGAGCAACCCAGCGGCCCAGCACGCCAGTCCCACATCAGCTGGGCGCTACGTGCATCATCCCAGAACTCAAAGCGCCAGTGGGGATGCAGCCGTCGCCAGGAGGCGATCTCGTCCCCTGAAATGGGCTTGAAACTGGAAACTACTGCTACTACGACTAGGACTAGGACTAGGACTAGGATGGACGACTACTACTGCTGCTACTACTACTACTGCTGCGCTGTCGTGAACTCAACTTCTGGACTGCAGACAATGGAGGGTTGGCCAATCCTAAAGCAAGCATATGGGAAAATGATTCGAAAGGAAACCCCTTAACCCACACCAAGGGTTATCGATTGCCTTTGAAAAGGCCAGAAATTGCAAGGTGTCCCTTCTTCCCTTCCTGATCTTTGGCATGGCTGATGTCAAGAGGAATCCTGAAAGAGCCCAGTTGAACTTCAACAGCGAGCTACGTTCACAAACCTAGAATAAATGAGGGCGTCTTCCTTTTTTGGGGGTACCATGTGTCTAATCAGAAAAACAAAAACATAAATACCCAAATACAGAAAGCAACCTTCATCATCGGCAAAGCCGAACCCCTTCTTTGGTATGCCAACATAATCATTGTGAAAAACTCACTTGGAAGTTGCTGTGGAAAAGCGGGGCTTTCCTGCCGCAAGAGCAACTCTGCACCCGAGCCCGAATTCGATCTACTTCCATTGCTTTCCCTTCCTCCAACATGGCATCTGTGGGAGACCTGGAAGATTATTTGTTTTAAGGGACCCTCTGTCAGATGCCACGTTTAGTGCGAGGGAGGGCAAGTCCCCTGAAAACAGATACGCATACTTTCAGTAGTGTGCGACTCCTTTGAAAACCAGCAGAGGACAAAAAAACCTATTCCTGAGCAAATCCACATTGTCTCATCAGTTGGACATCCCTTCCCCAAGAGCGCCGGACGTTTCCCCTGAAGCCCCCACGTTCGGCCAAACGCAACCGCATCTCCAAGGCACCGGATGTTGCAGACCAAATCATTCTGGGCGAAACCACGCACGGCTCAAACAAAGGGAGCCGCGTAGGAATGGGTGTGCCCTTTTCGAAGTTATGTTAACCACCAATTTATTTGGACGTGGGGGTTCCCTACACAGTTGTCTCGAAATAGCGGGCCCCAAAAACCAAATGCAATGTCCCTTCTCGGAGTCCCTTCTTCTAACCCTAAAAAACTGACACCAAGACAGCCCCATTCCGTTGCAGCTGCGTGGCGGTATTTCACGGGAATCTGGTCAGTCTTCCAGGTTTGGTGCAAGATCTGAGGGATCTGCACATCCTCCGGCCTCTGTGGCAAGGCTTGTGCTTGGGTGGCACTTTGCGCCAATCAACCCCTGAAAGGTTTCCCCATTCCTCTTCTCTTTCCCAGTCTTCCTCAGCTTTCTTGATTGGTCAATGCTTCCTATTCCAGTCTTAGGCTTTGCTCGACGCCTGGCCTTAACATGGTCTTCCCAAATCCATGTAAGGAAATGAAAAGGCAGATATCCGCAGATTCGGTTTGATTGTGGCTCACCTTCCTTCCAAGTCCATTCGGGCGTTGGGGATCATGATTACGCTCATAGGCGACTCATAGGTGGCCTTTTGGCAAAATAGATGGCCCTGGTAAATTAGGATAAAGCCCATGTAAACCAGTGGAACCCATCTACTTTTAGACAAACTAACCTAAAAAGGACACCTATGATTACCTTGTGTTCACCAGCGTTCCCTAAGTCGGGGACTTCATCTTGGGCGCGCTTGATTCTTACGCCTGGGCGAGCCCTCTATTCCGCAAAAGCATACGGCCTGCGTATGCAAAGAAACTCAGTTTGACTCCAAACGGGCATATGTGAAAACAGGGGGCCTCAGAACAAAGGTTGTTCTTTTTTTGGTTTTTCCTTTAAATCACCGCACAAAAAGGCACCAACTCAAAAGGGCATGCGCACACACACACACACCCCTTCATGGCGGAACGGGTCCCTGAAATTCGCTGCAATGTCTCAGAATGGATCCCACGGCACGAGGAAAGTGCCTTCCGCAGATTTTACGGAGCGATTGATGGGGAACACTTCGTGCTTGTCTCAGCTCGGGTTTGGTTGTGCTTCTAGAATCCCAAAGAGGTATTTGAAGATTGGAATTCACAATCTGTCATGCGCAAAACTTTTGTGCGACAACCATCTGTGGTCCCCTTTAGGGTTTTTTTAGGCTTCTACAACAAAATAACAAACTTGTGCACCAGCCACTTGTGGGGATCCCCTCTTGGACCAACCAAAAAAAAGCCCCGAGCTCCTCGTGCACGACGAGCTCTTCGGGCCTCGGCGGTCCGCCTCTGGCGAGCTCAGCTTCCAGCCTGGAGCTGCGATTCCGCAGCAACCGGAAAAGGGCCTCCAGCCAATGCGAGCGCACGCCCTCCCCCCGGAGGCTACTGCAAAGGGTGCAACAAGAAAGACGTGCGCTCAAGGTTGTTGTTGTGTGTCGTTTCATGCGCATTGGATTTCACTTCTTGCGAAGCACATTAAATTTTGACCCCCAAAAATGCAATCCTGGTTGTCTGGGGTCTATGCTGGTGTTTTGGTTGGTTGGTTGACGTTCATCTTCCCAGGATTTCATTGTGGCTCTGCAGTAGGCAGAAAGTAGCAAGCGTCAACCAAATAACCGCTGCATGGGACTCGGATGGGGCTGGGGGGCCAGGCTTCATTGGTGGCTTGGGCGCGCTTTGCCAAGACAGGCGGTTTTCCAGATGAAGGGTCTCGCTCTTCAGGGGTCACGAACACATCTCACAGATGCCCTTTGGGCACCCACAGACACACGTGCCGGCCCCGGCCCTCCGGAAGGCCTGCTCAGAGGCAGGCGGAACGCTGAGCGGCGCACCCGGGCACAGGCCTTGTGAGACATGAGCGTCCTCAACCTGTCAACCTTCAATCCCAATAATAGGATTTATAATTTTGATATATCTTGTCTACCTGAAACATCTTGTCTGCCATCATTCTTGGCAAAGGGCAAAGATTCCTGAGATCAACAATTTAAATATGTTTTACCATAATCGTCTTGGCAAAGGCCAAAGATATAAGATGTTACCAAACGTCAGACCAAGCACGGCACAGGTTCTGACACTACAACTTGTCTCAAGGGGAAGCGGACCAAAAACGGGCGGCGACCTTAAAACCTGCAGTCAAGCTCCTAGTCACCTTGCTTGCGCCGTCCCGTCAGAACTGGTGGGTCATCTCCTTCGGGCCCTTCAAACCTGCTGGCTCCATTAGCAGCTTGTTGGCCCCACCCCTTTTCGGTTTTCAGTGGTATGCCCTTCCCCAGAATGCTGACAGCTGGAATTTCAAGAAGTGAGCCAAGTCTTCACAAAGGATGTGTCGGTTCTGCGCAAGCGCATGTCCGCCCCAGGTGGCCGAGGCTATAAGGCCTTGCACCACAAGCAAAAGCACATGTGTTTGCAGGCTAACAAAGGGATGCATGGGCACAGATTCTGTGGAATGGTGTTTTTCCCCGCACCTCCCAAGGCCACATCACGTCGACCGAACATCGATGTCTCAAACTTGCGGGATTCGCACGCTTTTGATCGCAAGAGACATGCAGTCCCAGGAGTTTTATTCCATTTCGGTCACCTGGCCCACTCAGCAGTTTGGCGAGCGATAAGTTCGCATCCCTTTACAAGC